TTTTAAATTGTTTCCCTGCGTTTTAACTTTTTTCCCTTTCCTCTTTTCATTTCGTTTGGACTCTTTTCGGTAGATGCTGTTACTTATTACTTTTATTTATTTATTTATTTATTTATTCTTTTGTTTGGGTTATTTTTGTTCTACGAGGTTTCGATGGTTGTTGTTTTTATTTTCAGACGAAATTGACGAAGGTTTTCTTGAACAGTTGGACGGTTTTGTTTTAAATTTTGGAATTGAAACGTGCCTCGTGTTACAAGCTGGGTACACGTGTACATATAAATTGGGCTCTTCGAGTGTTTCGTGTTACGGAATGAATATTCTAAATGCTCGTATCGTAGCTTGTTAATTAACGAATTTACTGGAATGGGATATACGGTTGATATCGCATATGCTGTAATTATTTTTGTTTTCTTTTTAATTATAATTTATTTCGTGTTAGCCCTGTTGAGGATTTTTACTCTTTTCGTATTAAGTGTCTGTTTCCCTTTTAATTTATGGGTGCTTATTATTGTGAGGATATTTTTCGCTTTACACATCCTTTACTAGCTTTCGAGATTGTAAAGCGGAGTTATGAAGGAAGAAGACAATGATAATTCATGCAAATATAAATCAGTCGGAATCAACTGCGAAAAAGATTTATAAAATTTTTAATAACTTGATGAGAAAATAATACGTATATATCACAATGCCATTTCAAATTTCTTATTTAACCCCTTGCACTACGCTGAAACTCGGAAAAAGCCGTGCCAAACCCGTGTGCCTCAATAGTCGGGGAGATTAAGACCACGAGTCAGACTCGAGATATTCATGTTTGGCCTGAATATCAATAACGAGTCAGACTCGTGATATTCATGTTTAGCCTGAATATCGATAACGAGTCAGACTCGTGATATCCACGTTTAGCATGAAATTAAACAACGAGCCTGACTCGTGATATTTAAGTTTGGCCTACAATTTTCATCACGAGTAAGACTCGTGAAAATAGTGCAAGGGGTTAAATATCTAGTACTTAATAAAAATTAAATAAAAAGCGATATCCAATTTTCTTTTATTCTAATAACATAAAATATCGATTTTCCTGTCTTCAATATCACAGTTAATTTAACAGAAATCAAGTGTCATTACCAAAATAATTTTCCCCTGCTTATTAAATAATAATTGAATTATAAATAATGGTATTGTTCATTTAAATAATCACTTTTCGTAATATTCTAAATATCAATGTACCCCTCTTTCTATGAACATGATACGAATCACAAATATCGTAAAATCGTGACCGATTAACTCCGCTGATCGCATAATCGTCTCTATACCTTATCACGAGCATGTCTATGTGACAAATTAGCCAGCAAATTACAATCACGACTCACTTAACCGTGCAATCTACGTTCCGCTTCAGCTACGCCCCATCGTGAAACGACGTTTTCCCGCGTCGGCGAAAAGTAATTCGCGCAATTTGTTAACAAGAAGTTGCAATAACGTCCCATTACGACGGCTCGAAACGTACAAATGGGGACCGTTCTCTCTTTTCTCTCATCGAGCGCAACGTCGAAACGCGAATAAGAACGCGAATTTTCCTCTTATTACGTTATCCAACGAACGAAACCTTCGTGGTATACAGCCCTATCTCGTTGCACCGGCGCAAAAAGGAAACGACAGTGAAATACGACGTTTGATATCCAGCCCGAACCGAATGCACCGGCAGCTAATTTAATTAAATAATAACAAAGGAACAACTTCAATCTCGAGCCAGTTCTAAATTATCCCGTGTTTTTCGAGTTCCCTCGCGCCCGGCAGCAGGCTCCCTTTGGGACACGCGGTAATTTTAAGGTCTGTGAAATATTAAGGAAACGAAGACGAAGACACTCGCTGGCTGGTTTGCACGTGGGGAATTCAGCAATAAGTCGGCCAACTTAATTACATTATCGGGTTATTTTCTTCATAGTCATTTTGCTTATGATATTGCTTAATTTTGAAACTCGTGGTTCGTCGTGTGGAGATTGCTATGAGAAATAATTCCTTCAGAATATTAACCCTTTGTGCACGACGATTTTTTGGCTAAACAAGGGTATGAGTTGAAAAATTTCCTGTTATAAAGCTGATGATATTTTATGAACAATAAGTAAGAAATCATATAATCATTAATACGTAGAATTATTTAATTTCGATACCTCGCATACTATTACTATCAAATTTATTATTTTAAATTTAATATATTAATTGATATCGGACTTCGAAATTTTATCAAATGGCGACTGAAGAGCGCCTCTCGAGTGCAAAGGGTTAACGTTAAGTCCAGCGAGAATCTATACGCGATTTTTAAATAAAAATTATATTTTTGCAATTCTCTATTTGTACATAGATTCTCTCTATATTAACTTTAACGAGTCTTGCGTGAAGTTGAGTAATTTTATGATAATACCTCGTTAAATACATCGAAAATTTATGTACAGTAGTCAAATGGCAGGTTTTAAATTATAAACTATATTTTCATTTAAAATATTCTGTTGTAATTCTGTTGTAACTCCAATATTATATTAACAGAATTGTAATTTTAAATAATTTTTAATTATAAAATAAACTGACAATATTAAACAGATCTAACAGTAATTATATTATATTTTATTTCCATTTTATTTTCATCAGTTTCGAATATAATTCTGAACACTAGCCCCTCGACTGAACAATTTATAGCTCCCAAGGACCCTGAGAGCGTAAATTAATTTTACTCCGAGAAAACAATTTCCTAAGAAGAATTTTTTATTTTTTAAAGTGAAAGGTCTTCGTTGACATTTCGAGCTTTTGCAACGAAGACTCCGAAGCTATGTATAAATTATGCATTAACAACTATGCATAGGATATTTCCAAACCTAGTTGCTAGTCTCTCGGCACATGATGCAACTAATTGCAATAAAATATTATCGCTGAGTAAGGCGTATTTGCCGAAGGAGCATCGCGAAATTTATGAAGCATTACGGAATACGGTTATGGTTGACCAAGTTAAGCGGCAGCTGTATAGATCCATGAAACTTGCAGAATAATTTCTTTCTTACGATGTGCTCTACCTGGACGTGCATTAAACCGCGTTTAAAAATCACTATAAAAAATGCGAATTTGCAATCAGTTAACTTTGCGTCTATAATTAAACAAGCTCCCATTATCTCGATGCTCCTCGAATGACATCTTCATATTTTTCGAAAAGCGAGAAATATGGTCGAGGAGGTCGCGATGTAGAAGAAGTTGGAATTACGACAGGGTTAAGAAAGATGCATGGCATGTAGACAATTTCAACTCACCATGGATCACGCGGGTCAGGTAGTGTTCTATGAACGGAAATCAAGTCGCTGACATACTGATTGAACGCGTTGTTTAGCCATCCGTCGTCCACGAGCTTTTTCATTTCGGCAGTCAAATTTGTTGGCAGGATCACGGGCCTTCCCATCTCACCAGGCGCGCTCGAGTCCTGCTCGCGAGGTGCAACGAGCACACCGCCACCTGGAAAACAGAGAAATGAGAAAATAAATTTCTGGTTTGTATCAGATTTAAGCTAATTTTTTGGTGGAAGTTAGACTTTCTTCTGGGAAGCAGAGAAAACGTGAAAATAAATTTCTGAGTAATTTCTGAGTTTGAGTTAGATTTGGGCTAATTATTTTGAAGAGAGTTTACTTTCCGCTGGGAAGCAGAGAAAATGTGAAAATAAATTTCTGGTTTGGGTTAGATTTGAGCTAATTTTCTTGAAGAGAGTTTACTTTCTTCCGGGAAGCAGGGAAAACGTGGAAATAAATTTTTTGGTTTGGGCTAGTGTTTTCAGAAGATAAACTTCTTTCTGAGAAGCAGAGAAAGCATAAAAATAAATGTTTGGCTTGGGTAAAGTTTTCGTTTCAAAAACAGAGAATACGTGAAAATAAATTTTTGGTTTGGGTTAGATTTGGATTAATTTTCTTTCATGGAGGGGGTTAGACTTTCTTCTGGAAAGCAGGGAAAACGAGAAAATAAATTTTTTGGTACGAGTTAGCTTTTCAGAGATAGATTTTTCACTGAGAAGAAGAGAAAACAAAAAAATAAATCTTTGGCTTGGGTAAAGTTTTTGGTTGAAAAGCAGAGAATATGTGAAAATGAATTTTTGGTTTGGGTTAGATTTGGGTTCATTTTGTTGCAGGGAGTTATTCTTTCTTCTGGGAGGTAGAGAAAATATGAAAATAAATTTGTTGGTTTGCGTTAGTTTTCTGGAGGGACAGACTATTTTCTGGGGATAAGAGAAAACATAAATATAAATTTTTGGTTTCAGTTAGGTTTTTCTCTGGAAGGCATAGAAAAGAAGAAAATAAATTTTGGGTGAACGATTTTTTAACTATGGTAACTATCAACTTTTGTATTAAGTATACCGTGTTTTTTTATGTATGAGAATTTAATATTTCGTGGTGGAATGGTGTGATATATATAATATAATATTATATAAAATGTATTTTTGGGATATTTCACAATTTCTTATTTACAATGTGTTATTATGCATTGTTGTTTCAATCTATTATTTTTGTTACCTACATTTTGTGTTTATAGAAATAACTGACTCTAAAATTAAGAAATTTTGATTAAATTCTAAAATAAATATTTTTAGAAAAAATTTCCAAGTACAATTCATATTAATCTCGAATAGAACAAACTATAAAATTAATAAAGCGTACTCCCTGAAAGCATAACAGAGAAAGTTTAGTCTTTATAATTTTTGAATTAATACTGCTTTATTCTGTGCGGCTAGTCTGCGAAGTTGTAAAACCAGCTCTTGCAGATTCGTACTCTAAATGAGAATAATAACTCTGCGAGTAGTAATAATTCTGAAACCAGTCTGTAGCTCATTAACAAGACAAATTGATTCGTCCATTTCAGGCGGTACTCTCAGCATGAAATTTGTACCTTGTGAAACACCGGTATGGAAAATGGGTTACTATTCGATTACCACGAGATTAGAATGTATGTAACGTATAATAACATCAACGTAAATTATCTGAATACAAATTCTTATCTTGTTAGGAATAAAAAATTAAATGTCATTAATTATAATAATACTACTAACTACATTATTAAATTAAATATTATTAACTACATCAAGAACATCAATTATAAATCCAATTACTATTACAATACAGAAAAGTTATCCTATCATACAACAAAATCATTGATTTGCAATACCTGCCTAAATGTATTCTACATGTACAAATAATGATTAAAGTGTCAGGGTAAAAATATCAGAATTCAAATCAATATTAACCCTTTGCACTTGAAACGCGCCTCTCGGTTACCATTTAATCAGATTCTAAAAATGGATGTTAATTAATATATCAAATTTGCAATTACCCAACGATGCGTGGAATACTGTAAAATAAAATAATTCTGCGTATTAAATTACAATACGATTTCTCATTTACAGTTTTAAAAATATCGTCGACCTTATGGCAAAAAGTCTTCGAATTAATATTTTCCTGTAACGAAAAAATCGCTGAGTGCAAAAGGTTATAAATATCGTCGACCTTATGGCAGAAAGTCTTCGAATTACTATTTTCCTGTAACGAAAAAATCGCTGAGTGCATTATAATACTATATCGTCAGTGGGTCGATCTTGCTTGATGACGATTAGTGAAGAATGGATCTTTGAAAAGATTGTGCTTGACTTCGAACAGTAAGTGAACTATGTCGTTATTTTAATATCGTGTGTTTTTATATACCGCGTGCTACCAGGTCTAACATTTATATGGACCCTTGATAGGGCTATATATTTTACTATTGGATGGAGTTTTCGAATATTTAGGTGCAAGGATTGGGATTACAAATGGAAACGGGAACTGAATTATTATAATACAGAATTATCGTAATTCTCCAGGTACTTGGCGTATATAATAACCAAGCGTCATGATATCGTGTTTTACCTGGGGCACAGAGTCAGCAATATGGAATTTCCTAATGACTAATAATACCCCTAAAATGGTATTTCAAAGATTAACAAATTCAAAGAATACCTCCTTTAAATATAATTCAAAAATATTCCGCAAAAATTTCACAATTTATGATACAGATATTAAAACTCCGAGGATTTTCGAAAAGAATATACTTTCGAAATTTTAAGCGAATTTCTTTATTCAGTATATTATAGTTAACGTCTCCTTTCGTATTTTTAAGTTTAATTAATTATTGTTGAGAAAATAATATCGGTAACGGAATATTGTATTGACATATTGAATATTCTAAATTGAAAAATTAATTTATTGCAATTAAATATTTCCTCAAAAATAATTAATTAAACTTATAAATGCTTTAATTCCGCAGAATTACATATTTATAATAATTCTAAAAACAAGCCTCGAGTCTCGTGAATATTCCAAAACTCAAAGCTAAAAAATTCCATGGCCCCTATATCCACACCGATCAACCCCCCTGAAGAAAATAACACGAAGTCAGTACCTATTGATACTTACACCACCACTTATCTCCCTCAACCGCCGATTCCCTGACGAAATCATCCCCCGGAATCCAATTTCGCGTTCGCGAGAGAACACACGGCAAACGAACGAAACACAAACGAGGCGAAAGGGTGGTCGATGCAGAAACGGCGGTGGAAAACGGAAGACGGCGCGAATTGAATTCTCAGAACGTATCCGGCCCGAGTCTGTCCCCTTTCTGAGAGCTTTCGCTCGCGCGGGCTCCACTTTTATTTTTCCCGGCGTCATATTGGCGCCGGGCACAGACAAAATGGCGCGAACGCGCCCTCGAGTTCGCCCAGTTTTCTCGCCGTCTTGCCCTCGTCTCGGAAATAATTTCATCCCGGTCGAGCGAGCGGGACCCCGGTGTGCGCGATGCGGCAATAAAGAGCACGACAAATTGCTTTAGAGCGGCGAACAGGCCGCTGCGAACTTCGCCGCGGCGAAACTACCCTCGTGCATCAACTCGCCTACCCCCGGCACACTCT